TGTGTGTGTTTGTTTGTGTTTGTTTGCTGTTGTGTTTTTTTTGTGGCTATCCGTCTTTATCTTTGTCTGCCTGCCCGTCTTTCTGTCCGCGGGTGTGTGTTTGTGTGCACCAGAGAACCGGGCATCAACATATTGCGGATTGTCAGCTAAATCGATGTGTGGCTGCTCTGCTCAGGCGCGGGGACGACCGCAACAACTCCGAGACCTTCGGTGGCGGAGATGCCGGTCGGTCGTTCGAGGAGGCAGCACTCTTGCAGGCACCAGGATGATTTTTCAGGTCTGCAGTGGTTTGCGTCCTGGGCTTCCGCAGCCAGGCGGTCCACGCCAATCACGCCCTGCCCCAGAGCTTCGCGACTCCGCTTTCCTGGTGTCTATACATAGACGAGGTAACTCCAGGTAATGCTCTTCGACCACGACAAAACCGCAAGGTCTTCATGGCTTATTGGAGCTGCCTGGAGTGGACCACGCATGTGCTGCAAAGCGAGGAAGCTGACGAACTCCGTCGCCAGCTGCGACCTTTCCTACTTTTGGCGGCTTTGTTGCAGACGATTCCTACTCGAGCAGTTGGTGCCCGTCACTTGGCAGCATTGCGACAGTATCTGGAATTTCTGGATGTGCATGGGTACAGCGACTTGGTGCCCAAGCTCCATGCTTTCATGCACCTGGCCCCGCAGTACCTGCACCACGGCTGCCTTGTTTCTTGCTTCTGCCACGAGCGAAAGCAGTCCGAAAGCATAAGGTGGTGAAAAGATTCACGAATCAGCTTTGCAATTGGACGTGCAGATTCGAAAAGACGATACTGCAAGAGCCCATCGCCAGCCAGCTCAAGAGCATGACGGACTGGACTCCACAGAGCTACACAAAGGTGCGACTCATGGACCTGACGAAAAAGGCCCCTGTGCAGCTGGAGAAGCAGGTGAGCGAGGCGCTGGGCTGCTCCGGTCCCTTTGTGGCGAGCCTGGAAGCCCTCCACGGAGGAGGATATCCTGTGCACCGAGGAGATTTGGTCGTCGTGGCTGCCCAGCATGGCGAGGAAAGATTAGCTAAAGCAGATCTGCATCTGCAAGCTGGAGGCCAGACCTGGACGGTTGTCTCCTTCTAGCACCGGGTTGCAGCGGATGTTTTTCCAAGAGGCTGATGGAAACACAGGAAAAGCTCTGGTGCCTACGAGCCTCATCCTGCAGACGGTGGCCTACTCCTTCATGGACGGACAAGCCATAGTTGTCAGAGACATCTGACTGTTTGCGGGGCGAGGAAAAGAAACGGAAGTCTGCAGGGGGCGAAGCCTACGAAGCGAAGTAGTCAAGCGACAGTTACGGCAGCTCGCTCACCCCCCCATAACCCAGAAGCCCTGCAGGCGAGCCTGAGGCCCTGCCTGCGAGCTGTCTGTAGGAGATCACAAGAAGCAGTGCCGCAGCTGTCGGAAACCGCAGAAATATAGGACCGCCAAGCATTTTTCAGCTATCTCGGAAGCTGCTCACTAGCCAGCCCTCTTCACTCGACCGGTGTCTGAACCGAACGACCTTTCGGCCAGGTGCTTCAGCTGAACTTTATCGCTCAACTCGTTCTTGCTCCGGATGCTTGGGTGGGTCAACGGTTTCTGTTTTTGTAAGGTCCCGAATCATAACATGCTCCTCCTCAAATCTCATTTTGTCATCTTAGAATATGCCGTTTTTATGCATATGAATATCCGATCTGACGTACTTAGTAACTCCACTGAGTACACTTACATAACTTCAATAAGTGAAAACATAAATCACACCAGCTACTTATTAGCTTACTCATGTATATACTAACCCAATGCCCGCCCAAGTACTGTCCCCATATGCTGAGCTAACATTCTACAGTTGCACATATGAACATGATTGAACATGTGTGTTATTGTCTTAACTATCTTTGTCAGTTTCTTAGTCATGCAGCCTTAAAACTTCGCCGTAACCCCCGTAAACCGGCAAAATTCGCAAAACCCCGAAGTCTTAAACCCTAATTAAACCTTCAACCACTTGAAATCCTGAACCCCAGGCCCAGGACAGGCCCGGTCCGGCTCAGTCTGCCCCGGCGCCCAGCTATGCACCGGGCTTGGGAGAGAGCGCAGGAAGCACTCACAGGGTCCCCGGGTCTTGGGGTGTTCGAAGGTTTGGGATTTGAAGGTTATTTGGTGTTGTTCCTGGATTTGGGGGTGAGAGGTTTAGGATTTGTGGTGTGTTGCGGGTGATTTTTTCTCTCGAGCTTCCCTCAATTTGGAAAGCCCAAAGCTCATTGTATCCCGCAAGGAAGAATCTAATTCGAGGTTGAGATATGTTTCGACTTGCAGTGTTTCAAGGCATTCAGCTTTGATGTGCGAAGGGTCTGATGGGGCTGCGTGTAGTGTAGGCGAAAAATGTGACGTCATATTTATTGCCATTACACTGATAATCGAGAGCTTTGGCGTGAATTGACTAGCTAATTATCGCAATCGCGGACGAAGCAGAGCCCGTTCAAACATTTTTCGGGTGGCTTCGGTGTCTTTTACTATCGCTTCATGCCCAAACGGTCACATCCTCTGCTTCTAGCGCCAGATATGGATCATCCCAGCAGCGCGCGGTGCAATTCCCGCCGCGAAAACCACGTTGTGCCTTGCCGAGGCGCAGGCAAATGGGCCCGGCGGACCATCTTTGGGCCTCCCCTTCGAGGCACGCGAATGGACCAGAATTGTGAGGGAGGTGCGTCGCTGTGGAGATGTTTATTATAGTCAGAGCCCCCGATTGTTTCTGTTTACCAGCGCTTTGCAACGATGATGATAATGATGATGATGACGATGACCTCTTCATGTCCATCATCAACGTGACATTGAAACAATCAGTCGGACCTTTGCTGTACTGGGCGGAGCATGTCGGGTGTTTCAGGAAGGGTGCTTTTGACTCTGAAGAGCTGGTACTTACGAAGTGAAACAGGGTGCTAACATCATCAAGCCCCGGGATGAGCAAGTTCACGACTCTGGAAACAGCATGTCCTGGTTTGCACTCGTGATTCAGGGTCCTCCGGGCAGCGCCGCCACAGGTGGAGCCGCACCTTGGGCGTATTTGTTTCTGAGGGATTGCTTTTTGGAAATGGTAACATGGCCACCATTTCTTGGAGAGCGGTCCCAAACTGAAATATACGGTGTTTGAGAACGAGGGCTTTGTGGATGTCGCTGGTCGCAAAGGATCATCGGAAGTGCCCACAGCGGCAACCGGTGTTTCCGGTTCTTCTCTACGGTCTGATATTTCAACTGCAGTTCTCAGGGGGAAATTCAGAAAAACATGTTTTTAGTTTGGTCACCAAGAGTACAACCAGGCTCCCGCGAACTTCATGGTGTTTAGAAGCACATGCCGCATCAGCAGCAGCAGCAGCAGC